TCAGCAGGCTCTTCGCAGCGCTCCCCCAGAGCATCAGGCTGCAGTTGGTTTTCACTGTGTCTAAAGATATCATGGAGTTTCTGGGTCTCATTCAGACAGATGGGAGGCCAAGGGGAAAGAGGTGCAATCCAGTACCATGACCCTTCTACAACAAACAGCTGCTACTCAGAAAGCAGAAACATACGGGCTAAAATGATGCTGTACTTTTTGTATTTTTTAAAAATCCTTCTATTCTTTTATTACTGAATTTTAGTGCTCACAAGAATGCTGCCAACCTGACTTTAGAGCCTGAAATCATCTATCTTAATATAAAAAAATACAGTCCCCGTCAACAGTGATGCCAGCTCTATTAAACAGCCCCATTGCAAAGCCAAAGGAGCCGCTGTCTAGGAAAGGAGGAAGGAAATTTGCACAGTTGGTCTTTATCTGCCTGTCTCCCGTGCAACAAGAGAACAAGGTCACATCTAAAAGCATAAAGAAAGCTGTCCACAACAACGCAGGCTCAGTCAAATCACTGCCGGCTACTACACCATCTCTGTCAGATGGCAATCACTTTTAATCAGGCTGAAGCCTAAGCTGCATCTTAATCAGGATCCTTAAAGGGCGCATCTCCCCCGGATCATTCACCTTGAGTTAATTGACTGCCAGTCGCTTAGAGGTCATTGCCACATTTGTAAAGGCTAGTCAACAATCCCCAAACATCTCTGATTTGCCTCTGAGATCAGACTAAAATAATATTAGCTTAGCAAAAACATGTAGGTAGTGTCCAGAGTTGCCCATAAAAACGTGCAAATTGCCTGAAGCCTGTTGTCCATCATCACAGCACGAGCTCCCTGGGGAATACAAGCGTACAGTATGGGTTGGGTCCTGTTACAAAGCCGGGCTGCTAATTTCTCTCCTTTCCTTCTTTTCTGAAAACCTTTCAAGCCCTAAAAGCCTTCTGTCAGGCAGGATAAAACCCTGCCCTTTTTTTTCTTTTTTGGTGGTAGCTTGCACCTACTCTGCATTATGTGCGACTGACTTCACCCAGCATAGAAACCTTGTGGGGCAGTTCTGTTGTTTCAGAAAGGTAGTTTCCAAGCCACTGGCTAAAGCCCCGAAACAAATCTTTGGTGTGGGCAAGTGCTGCTTTTAGAAACAATATCTGGCTGCCTCCAACCTGTTTTGGATTTAATTGCTCATGCTTCTACCGTCTCATGTTAAAAAACAAAAACAAGAACAAAATAGCTCCTCTTTCCTAAGAAGAGATTAATTTTTTCACTAAGAGAAGCACTGATCCCAGGTCTCCTCTTAAAGCTGGAAAATGTCTTTTCCCTCTCATGCCGCTTGGCTTCTCTGGTGTCTAATAATAATAGCTGAGCTCACACCGAGCCCTTTTTTTTCATGGTGTATTCATTTGAGTCTCTCACCTTTGAGTGTTTTCACAAAACTTATCTGAGCTTATTGCTTTTGACACCTCTAAATAGCTTGAATCTGACTGAAATTTAGTATCAGGTTCAAGGTTTATGGAGGCATAAGAAAAAGGAAAAAATCAGTGCAGCCACACTGAATCAATTTTGAAAAGTAAATTTACAGATAAAGAACATCATTAAAAATAAGAGATTGATCCACTGGGGGTTTTAGTGGCTTCTTGACCCAATGTTAGTCAATACTTTTCTCATTGATAGGGAAGGAAGAATAAAAATCACTGCTAATGAAATGTTGTAGATAACACACAAACTTGCTGAGCATTAAATGATCTGCTGAGATCATTTGGTTACTGCTTGGTTACATACCCTGGTGTCCTACCCAGCCAAATACACAACCAGACATTTAGGAACAAAGAAGAGAGATCGCCCTGTAAGAGTGGAAACCATATTGTGGAAAGCAGAAAATCTGTGAAAGGGCTGACGAAAGGGAGAGGAATGTGCTCTGAGGGCAACATTTCCATCTTAAAGGGGAGACACAGTCATGGATGTGTTCAACATAAGCTGTGCAACGGCTGAATGATACCCTCCTTGCTACACTCCAGAGCTGATATCCACGTTTGCAGAAGTATGTTGAAAATTTACAAAGAGTTTCGAGAAGACTGACAAGAATAACTGAATCAGCGAAAAGCAAGCTTTACTTCAAACGACAAACACTACTCTTGGATAATCTAAATAGAGTGACAGGGTTAAAAAGCAGCCTGATTACAGTCTTCAGACACCTACATGGAGAAGCAATTCTCAGCAGTAAATAGCATTTTAATCTACCAGAAAAAGACATAATGAGAGTTAATGGTTAGAAGTTTAAGCTAGACAAATACAAGACAGAAACAAGGCACAATTGTAACTGTGAAACAAATAATCTTTTGAACAATTTATTGAGGAATGATGGGCAATCAATAATGTTTTTAAATCAAGGCAAGAGTTTTGCAAAGTTACAACTCAGATGTAATTAGTTAAATGAAGAGAATACTGATTGAAATTCTGTGATCCAGAGATGACCTTATCATTTCACCTGGTGAAGAAATCTGTTAATCTTTCCAAAAGGTTGCATGGTTTTCCTGGAACAGGGACTTGGCTATTCCCGCCAGATTATGTCACCCCTGCCCTGCACCTTGCACTGTACTTGAATCCATCCAAAAAGAAAAGGTAACATAAAACACAACAGTCTATTTAGCACGTCCCATCTTGGAGACTGTGACACTACTTTTTTAGCCTGGCCCTGGCTATGATTTGAGCACAAATTCTCCTGCATCACCCTCTAAGCTCTCCAAATGAGAGGTCCCTCCAAATGAGGTCTGTCCCTAGTTTGTGATGATACTGCCTCCATCCGCTGTAACTTCCCTGTCCGTCCAGTGCTTCCTGGAGACACCGAGGCCCGGCCAAGAGCAGCCGTGCTCTTGGTCCATCTGGTCTATCTCCAGCCTACTGCCAATATGCACAAACCTAGCACATCTGGCTTAAATCCCAGCCGCTACAGACGGGCTGCGCTGGACACAAAGCACAGCAGTGAAGGCCACTGACAGTCTTGGACGCCGTATTGTTAGCCACTGCCATTCACTGTTGCTGCTTTAGTCTTGTAGTGTCTTTCTTCTCAAAGAGGAGCCTGCCTGCAGCCCTGCCACTCAGAATCCCGTTACCTTGGTATCTGAAAAACTTCCATCATCTAAAGTGTAACAATTGCAGAAACACTGCACTGGGATTAGCTGCAGCGCAACTCGCTGCCTCTCCTGACAGTCAGTCAGATATAACTGTGACGTGCAGTTTCTCATACTTATTTCTAAACTTAATATAGCTAGACCGGGATCGATAGCAATAAACTGTCTGCAGGATTCTAGGATGTCTGGAGCTGGGACCACAGTTCTCCTTACCTCATGCTATAGGCCTAAAAGCAACAGAGGAGGCCTCCAGATTTTATTGCAGTAAAAATAAAATACATAATGGCTCTTTTCACGAACACAAATGCAAGAGCGCCTTTTCTGTGCCTTGTGAATTTATTTTTGGAGGGCACTGCAAGACAGTGGAGCATTCATAACGATGTGTATAAACACTGAAAATGGAACTTTAGCAAGAATGAAAGATTGCCTGAGACTTGGTCTGCTGCTTATTCATTATTCACTGTTGAGCACTCTCTTTTAATGTTTCCTTCATTCTATCTTGGGAAGGAAAACCATCCTATTGGGCCAAGATGACAATCTAAATATTAAGTAGCAAAGACTCAAAGAGAATAGTTTTCAAAAAACTTGAGGGGAAAAAAAATTTCAAAGCTGTTCATTGAGCAGCATTAAAGAAAACTGGGATTAGTCTGTGAATGAGTATTGCCAGCTCTCAGGTTACGTCTAAAAGACACACAGTACCTGCACAGGGCGTTGTAGAATACTCCAGCTCCTGAATCCAGCAATTATAGTTGAGAATTTTGGTTTCTATTAAAAAAAAAAAGTTCTATGATAAAATGTAAAAGGTTTAAAAGGTTTAAAATATTAAAGACCAAAAGGCAAATAAAAATAACTCCAAACTTTGGAGAAATAGTTGCATTTGTCATTCTGCCTCCCCATCAATGTTATCTTGCACGATTTCCTACAGCGAGTGCGAGTGCCTTCTCAACTTTGCTAACATGCCATAGCTCCACGCTAACATGCCGTAGCTCCACGGGCAGGCAGTAGGGCTACTTCGACTATTTATAATAGTTCAGAACCTAAAAACCTAACGAGTACTGTGTATACAGTGCCTTCACCTGAGAATCACACTTGGAATCACGCATATGGGGAAGCCTTTGCTACACCAGCTTTCTCCCTTCTTTGGTTTGGCTGCTGGATGAAGCAGTAAGCACAGACAATCCAGGTAATCCATACCCAGGGACTAAACCAGCACAACGCATGGTGGCAGGGCTCAGGGGGAAACTAGACAGAAATGCTTTTGCAGTTCAGTAGGGTCTCTTTATCTGTCATAATCTTTTGCAAAATAGAAAAGGAGGTGAGAGTATCAGTTTTATTTGTTTTTTTCCTACTACTAAACTTCTTGACACAGTGTTGGTAAAAGTTTTGCCAGCGCATCTGTGAAGCCAAGTAGAGCAGAAAGAAAAGGCAGTGGCTCCAATTACCTTTCTAATTAACACAGAAGACATATAGGCTATGTAATTTCAGAAGTTGCCAGTCTAGCAAGAATCGCTTTGGGACATAAATAGGTGAAATACTCTTCAGAGTGTTGCCCAGATCACTGGTCAGATTCCAAATCTGGGAGTTGTCAGGGAACTAACGAAGGCGAAACATATTCAGTGTCAGTGGACGTGCTACAGCATGCTCACCTCAAGGGAGGAAACCCTACAACTCTTGAACGGCGTTGCGTCAAAGCAGCAAAGCGGCAACAACAAACCTGACAATGCGAAAAACTCAGGAAATCACCGAGCTAGCACCTGGGGGATCAATAACATGAGTCAGGGCACACTTGAAGAAGAAAGGCGCTATGAAACTCTGGCTAAGCAACCACCACAAGCATATATACTAAGTGCAAAACGCTAAAATGAAGAGAGGTGACAGAGCCCTCAGTGCTATCAATGGAGACATGGGTGCTTCAGAGCTTATTAGCACTGCAGTTCAGATTTGCACAGCCAAAATGAAGAGGACCACAGCAGCAGTACAGGGAGTCTTGAGGCAGGGACCAGATCCCAAATGTTCTGAAATGGGAAGGGCTGCATCCCTGCAAACGGTTTGCACTCCTGAGTAACAAGCGCTTTCCTAAGCTCACATCAGTGATAACAACTGACCTTACAGCACAATCCACCCGGGATATAAAGCATGTATTCAGCCGAGAAACACAAGTGCTGCCAGCTGGAGGTTGAGTTATGAAGAACACCTCACATCATCCAGCAGGCAAAAGGGACTCTCTCATCACAGATGCAATTTGTTGCTGGGTAAATTCACCATAGATAATCCAGTCCTGAAAACGGAGTTGAAAACATGTAAATCAAAAGCAACAGGCATTCAGGTTGTGCATAAAACTGCTTTGCAGATGACACATGAAGCTGCTTTGCAGATGACAAATGATGCTGAGCATACGCAGAGCAAATGAGTTCTGGCATCCTCAACTCAAAGAACCAACTCTGGATTCAGTTACTAGACCCACTGCACTCAGTCATTTCCCATCTGGGGAAAGACAACTCGAGCGAGGAGGCCACGTCGGTGGCACAGGCGGGAGATGGGGCTTCGAGAACAGGTTGTGAGATCAGTGGGACACAAGGCTGATGCACTAAGACACAGGAGTGTGTGCCAGGAAAAGCAGCCTGTGGGACACGTAGCCTGGGAAAGGGGACAGAAGCTTTTCTCTGCCAGTCATCTTTGGGGCAAGTATATGGAGAAAGCGTACTGCAGAGGGAGTTGCATTCTGGAAAAGAAGGTATCATCTCTACTGATGGCACCCAGCATTGCTGGTATCACTGCTACTGAAGATGTTAAGTATCATTTTTGCCAACTTAATAGTCTGAAAGAGTTGACTTATACATAAACAAAAGATTCCTGATAAGGAATCAGCATAGGATGACTCCTTAGTGTTGTACTAATAAATCTATGTAGTTCTCAAAAAACAGGCACACTTTAGTGTTTACACACTTGAAGTTCCTCCTACATGAAGACAGATTTTTGTCAGTCAAAATGGAAAATGCCCAAGAAGCGACTTAATAGCTGAGTAATTAATTTGCTGTGTCAGGCTTTTTTTGTATGTATTTGTTTTGATTTACCTGCCTACTCTTACCTAGCCCTTTCTCCATATTCACTGAAGCTTTAGAACTGCTTAGAAACCAGAAGCGGCAAGCCAAGAGTTAATGTTCAAACGTCTTATCCCTAGGTTCAGTAAAAAGAAACAAGTTGGACTTTTGTTATTGGTTTTTTTTTTTTTTTTAGCAGTCTAGGACTGGGTCTAGGATGTTCACAACCTCTTAAATAAGCAGTCAGCTGTGCTGGTGGATTAATTCTGTATGCACAGTAAGAATGTGCAGAGCTGCATCTTAACGTTTTGAGGCCTTATCTCTGAATTAGTTATGATGTACTTTATTTAAACAAGCTTGGGGACCTGATGCACAAGTTACTCAGCTGTGCAGAACAGCTTGGATTGCAGCGGTCTCTCCGGTTGAAGAAAAGTGTCCTTCCTGCAACCAACAACGTTGCATATAACTTAGTGACTTGTCATGCGTGCAGTGTCTCCAGTCGCTCAGTCCTTTAGAAAGGGCTCAGTGGCTGGGGTGTTGCAGTTTTTGGCATAGTTCTAACCACCCCCAGTGATAACTGAGATGAATTTCTATTTGACTGAAAATCTTTGGCTCCCCTGCTTGGTCATCCAGATGTGCTGTATTACTTGGCACCTCAAATTCCTGTGCTTGTGCTTGTGAACCTGTAAGGACACAAACTGAGCACGTGGCTGCGCGGACAGCACAAAAAAGCAGCGAAACTGCCAAGCAGACACGGACTGTGGTGCCGGACAGCTGGGAGCGGTGGGGTCTCTGCAAAACCTGCTTGTTTTACCACTTCCAGATGTTGGCTGCATCCCCGTATGCAGAGCATGTGAGCACTATTTAAAAACAAAACGCCACTAATGCTGTTGCTGGGATTCATTGATGTTTTAGCAGAACGAAAATGTATCCTTTGGGAGGGTTTCAGTGGCTGGCTTGCTTTGCTGCAGCCACAGCTGTCTGCCATGGTCGGTGCCTTGACGCTTGGTTTTGAGCGTAAGCAGGTGCTTATGGGCAGGAGGCAGTGACTGAACCAGCAATTATTTAAGTGTATGCACAAGGGGTGGACCCAGCCATGGACCCAGCCATTGCCCTTCCTTTTGCTTGCTGACAAACCTCAGGTTAACCCTCTCAGTGCCAGGTGGGGTTTGTAACTCCAGTCCTTGCCCCAAATGCTGTACAGGTTACTGCAGTATTCAAATACTTCCTCCAAATGATGATAGGCATTTTAGGGCGCTCCTTTGCATGAGTGAAGTTAAGGTTACTGCAGTTTTACAAATAGGGAACTGAGGCACCAGAGAAAGGGTGACTTTTCAAGACTACATGGGAGGCCTGTGGCCCAGGTAAAAGGTCTTACCTCAGCTGACCCCAGCCAGCATGCTTCCGACCCCTTCATTCTTCTTGCAATCTTAGATCATTTCCTGGGATCATCTGCTCCTGCCTTTTCTGCTTTTCCTTCAAAGTTACAGAGCCAGAGCCAGTGTATTTCCCTCTTGGTACCTGAGAAACTGTTAGAGCCAATAAGCATGTCAGCAAACTTGTGAAAGTTTGGAAGATCTCCCAAACTTTAATTTTTAATGTAGGTTTTTGTACTCAAATTAGGAAAAGAGAACTCACTAAGAAAATGGCTTGCTGTGTTTAAGGAAGCATTTTAAAAAATGTTAAGTCCTGGAGTTATTTTACGTTTGGGGAGAAAGTGCGGATCCTACAGAGCTGAGCAAAGCACCAAGGAAGTGCTGTGTAACCCTGCTGGCACTGCCAAGAGACGAACACCTCTTGTCCCCCAACTGGTGACTTCTTGAGGAGCCATTCCTAACAGGCCTGGCTTCAAATTGTCCCTTACATCAGCAAAACTAATGCAATGTCTCTTACTTACCTCCGTAGGCTTTATACTAAAACTGTACATGATCTCTATTTATAGACAGATGGTGCAGGGAAGCTTTCAGTTGTGAAGAGACAGCATACTGCTCTCAGCGTCTTGAGAGGCTTGGGGAGATCTCATTTAAAACCAGCCTTACCTGTTGGTACAATCAATCTCATCTCCTCTTAGCAGGCAAGAGGGCTCCCACAAATAACCTTATAGCTTAGGCACTTTCTGTTTACATTCACTTTCCCACGGCCTGCTATTTGTAGAGAATGATTATCAAGGCATTAAATTAAAAGTTTTGCCCAGTGGGAAACTATTGGATGTTCTGTCATTTCTACCACTTCTCCTCCCCTGGTGGAGAGACAAGACGGGTGGGGGAAGCAATCACCAGAAAGGTCGGGAATATTTACCTGCCAATATTGAAACGCTGCCGAGTGGCTTTGTCCAGTTTGACATCTGCTGTTTGGGATCGCAGTCATTTTGGTGGGCTGGCTGGGTGGAATATTTGTTCTTGATGTGGTAGGGAAGCATTGAGCCTTGAAATTAAAAGTGTCTATTTACCTGCAGGTTAGAAAGCTGGGGAAGCCGCTGGCATCCTCTATGGGGTCTTTGCCTAAAGGCTATGCCAGAGCATAAGTGACAAGCACAGGCTGGCAGGGAGATGAAAAGGAGCTCATAAAGATCTCCCCCAGAGTCTCCTTTTGGCCCATCTTCCAGAGAGGATCACAGCAAAGCCACCTTCCCTCTCAGCATGCTGGGATAGTGGAAGGACTTTCACTGTTTAGTATTAGTATGGCTTCAGTTTAATCCAAGTCTTGTATCGTATATACTGTAATTATTGGTAACACCTGTGTTCTGCACAGATGCACCTTCCTTGTATGCCCATGAAGAAGTTTTACTCCAAAGTGCTTCCTCTTCCTCATCAGGAGCAAGAAGTACAGGACTGGGCGTCTTCAGTGTTTGCCTCCTGTTTCATGCATTACCAGTTACATGTATAAACTCCAAAGTCTTTTGCTTAGACAGAGAGTGAGAGATCTGACAAACCATCCACGGGAACAGAGAAGGCTACCGAAAGCCCCCATCTGTAACACAGAGATGGAAATAATTATGGGCCTCACAGGTTTCTGCAAGCGCAGAATGTTTATATAGTGCTTTCAGCATGTTTGTGTCTTTGCTAAGTGGGGTTGCTGTTGCTGTTGCTGTTACATAGCCTTTATCTCAGCCTCAATAATTCTTCAGTTATTTTACTCGGGGAGGCACGGTGGTGTCTGTCAGCTCTTGGTCCTTTGAAGGCTGCTGGCTTCCACGGCTGGGCACGTCAGCTAGCCGCGATTCTCCTTGGAGGCTCCTGCTTTCAGACGCAATGAGGGGAGAAAGCTGGCAGTCAAACAAGCCTCACATGTAAATTGTGACAGTTTAAGTAGCTCTCACAAGGGAATAGGGATTGAGAAGGAACCGCTTCCTAATTTGGCCTGATTTTATACAGAGGCTTAAGGAAGATTTTTCAGGGGTGTTTTGTCATTGTTGTGGTTCAGATGAGAGCAGGACGGATCCCTGCCCATTCTCCCTCGCTCTGCTGAGCTGCTTCCAGCCTCTTTTCCTGACCTCTGCGGCAGTTGCTCGCCAGTCCTGTTGCAGCTCTTGCAGCTCCCTTTTCTCTGACAGGAAGTTCTTTCATTGCCTAACACTCTCCGCATGTGACTTGTCTACCTTGGAGTTGTCTGTTTTTTAGAAAGTAACAGGACAGTGAAATATTTAAGAGGTAAATTAGGGCCTGAGGGACATCAATGAGAAAATATTTGCACTGATTTCAGGGGGAACAGGATCTGCCCTTAGATAACGTGCTAGTAATGTGCCCACCCTACTCGAAGAAGCGGTTCCCTTCAGCTGCTTTACAGTGGCTTGCCACACTGAGCAACAAGGACACATCATTCACCTTATGTTAGCCGAAACAGCACTGAAATCTGATGATGCTGATTGATAAACATGCCTAAGGCTCCCATGTAGCTGAAGCCAGACGGCACCAGAACGCTCACAGACCTGGTGCCACTAGAAGGTTACGTCTCTGCTGTTGCCTGATGAAACCCACGGAGAAAGGGAATTTTTCTCTATTTTGGTTCCTGACTGGGCGAGAAGTCTTACTGACCAATCTTTCAGAAACTCTTTCTTTTAATGACATCTCTGGTATTCCACATGACTAAAAATAGGCATGTCATTTGGAGTAATGGTTTGCCTGCTGAGAGTTTTTATTATGCTTTATTGTGTTCCCTCACTAGACAGCTGTGCTCTATGAAAGGCATGGCTTGGGTATGGGAGAACAGAGCAGATTCAAACTGTAGAATATTTAATATGGTACTTACAGTCCCTGTTTTGTGATAGACATTTTGCCTGGCTGAGGACAAAGACAAACAAGAGAAGCTTGACAGATTGGTGGATGCTGGCTGGGATCGTTTTTCAGCAGACTTGATGAATCACTGTGTTAAAGCATTTCATTTTCAGTAAGAAAGATCATTTCTGAAAAAGCAAATGGAAGGTAGAGCATGAGACAGTTGGGGGGGGGGTTTTCATTTAAATCAAAGATACAATTAAATTAGAATAAAGATGCATTTTAAAAATCCATGCTGTTCTGAAAATATTTTGAGGAAGAAACAAAAATCTAGATTAGCGGGAACAGAATGACCTGGAGGAACATTTGCCAGCTACGCTCCACG